CGTGGCCGGCGTGGGTGGGGGGCTGATGGCTGTTTGCAGGCTGGCCATGCCCCCATCAGGGTGAGGGTCCCTGCTGTGGGGCATGGCCGGCCTGGGCGAGGGGCTGAGGGCTCTTTAGGGACAGTTTACAGGCTGCCCAAGCCCCCGGCTTTGTCTCGAAGGATCTCTGGAAGGTCTCCGGAAGGTCTCCCAGTCTAATTAGCATATTACCCTTTAATTAGTATAGATAGCATATAATTGTTTTCATCATGTTAAACTTAAAACGTTATGGATGAGTCAGGGGTCTCTTTTGAGTAGTATTCCTAAACCAGTGCTCTTTTCAAATGTAATCCTATTTTCAGTTTGGTTATATATCCCCCAGATTTTTGCTTCTACATTACATGCATGCATGCATGCATACATACATGTACATGTGTGCCTACATGTATACACATCTATAAAAATATGAGGGTAATATGCTAATTAAACCAAACATCCTTCCAGACGAAGCTGGGGCCAGAGGGAAGCTTGGGTTCTGGGTGCCTGCTGGTGGCCGGAGGGAAGCCAGCCCAGGTCCCCAGTGCCTGCAGGCAGCCAGAGGGAAGCCGGTGCCGGCGGCGGGGGAAGGAAGGCCTACTCATGCACGAATTTCGTGCATCGGGCCTCTAGTATGTATATATGTACTATTAAAGAATATATATCGTTTTATATTTTATCTTTATTGTATAAATTGTATGTTTTATGTTTTTTTCTTTGTCAATTCTTATAGATTTATATTTTTCTTCTGAATAGATTTCTCTGTCAAATAATTATAAATTTGGTGCTCTCAAATAATTTATCTCTGTTCTTATTTCTATATATTTGACCATTCTAGGGTATGTAGACAGCTTTTTCTAGATAAATAGTTTTAAGGCCTTTCAATCTATTAGATGGCATTCTATAATTTAAATATTTCTTACTTTATGATTTCCAAATGTGCTTTTCAAATCATCCACTTAGATACATTATTATATATGCTGTGTTAATAAGGTCAAGTGTTGAATCAGATGGGTCTGAGGCTTCTTGTAATGGTGATTCTCTCATTCTTGGAAGTGCACATTATCTAAAAATCTTTTCTGAAACATCAAGTTCATCTTCTGTTTTTATTAGATATCACCATAGTGGTCTCCAAATAACCTTAATAAGCAATTTTATATGCTAGATTGTAAAATGGAATCATCAAATATCCTGATATTTTATATGACATTTAAAAATTAATTTATTTTACTGAAAGAAATAAAATGATTAATATTAAAATGAATAATTTAGAAATTAAATTGTATAGTTTTTGTATTATCATTTATAATTATCAATATTGTTATGTATGTTTATAAAATGCTGATGAATTATGGCCAGTTCAATGCCCAGATGAGAGATTATGTACATTAATGAATTATTTATTTTTATGAACATATTTTTTTGTGTCAAGCAACATGTAGCATAAATATGTATTTTGTGTTGAATAGAAAAGCCTGTTTTTAAGTTAAGTCGGTAAATGTAGCATGATAAAGTCTAACTTTTACCAATCACATGGAAATTCCTTTATAGAAAATTTATAAAAAGAGAATGATCAATGACTAACTCAGTTTTGATGAAATGAAGAGATCTTAAGTTAAAGCCATGCAGTCTCTCTAAAATGAATTACTGTGCCCTTTTGTTTCTCTCCCTCCTATCTCATCCAGGTGCAGCAGTAGCAGGCATTTACCGAGTAGCAGGGAAGAACATGGCCCCTTTGGAAGCCCTGGTGTGGGGCGTTGGACAGACTGTACTGACATTGATCATCTCCTTTTCAAGGATCCTCGCCACACTTTGAGGTTTCTGTGGAAATGTCTGACCTTACATAAGGAAAAGATGTACAGATTCTCTGAAAATGGCATTGTTAGCAAGTGGGAATTAAATTATACAGGAATCCTGGAAGGAGCAGGTCGGAGCATAAGGCCTTGAGCTGTGTGGAAAGATTGCCCTCTGGTGTTCAAGTGATTGCACTACCGCACTGCACCTTACGTGCCTCCATCCCAGGCAAGGCGAATTACACTCTGAGAAGCTACAAGAAAACGCACCTTGTTTAGCTGCCAATCAGGTTAACATTGGTGTTGAATCATCGTTTTTAACAGTGTTGTGTTTAAGTTACAGGGACATTTTGAAGAATTGATATATGTGCCAAACTCTCTTCTTTTTTTATAAATTGGTCATGTGACAGTTTGCAAGTGTAGATGTAGATGAGACAAGTGCTGTGAAAATGTTTGACATGAATTCAGGTCACGTAGTGAGACTTTGTAACTAAATCCTGTGTGAGTGCCGAATACCGAATTGTTTACTAGGAGATAAATTATTTTATTTTTAATGTTGAACTTTTCTGGGATTTAGGGCTTTAATATGGTTAGGCTTTATTGTTATTTAATTTATGTGGAAAATAATATTAATGGAAAACTAGCTAAACTCTTTTAAGGACTCAAAGTAGATCTATAGGGTGCATCCTTTTCATGAACATAAATAATACTTTTAATAGTTTCCTTCATACATAAATGTTCTATTGATATGAATTAAAAAACTTTATCGGTAACACACATTGATTGTAGTTTGTGTGTCATAAAAGTATTATTTGAAATTTTTCTTAAAAATTTTGTTAGAAAACAAGTCTGAAATGCATGTTGCATTCTTTGACCCTCTAAAGAAAGTTTTGCCCTGTGTCTCATGGAGAAAACATCTTCACAACTGTTCCTCAGTGGGGTTCTATGACTTGTTGCCTCTGTCTTGATTTTTGACAAAGTGTAAGCAGTCTTTAATTCTGGAGTATTAACTATATTTAAAGAGTGGCCTAAATTAGGCTGTGAAAACAAAAAGCCTCATTTGTAGATAAGTAACAGTAAGTTATCTAGGGAGATTAATAAACTATCTTACTTTGGATATGTGGTAACAAAATTTCACTAAATAAGAATTGAGGAATTTAGTAAATCTGGCAGTCCATCTCAGTGTTTAAAACAGTACTGAAATATATTTGAGTGATTCATTTTAGTTCAGTTCTTGATTTATGCTAAGTTTATTAGAATGTGATGGCATTTATTAGAAATGAAAAAGTCTTTAGTATAAAATATTTTAAGAGATTTTGGCAACATATACTTGTTTTTAAGACTACACGAAGTAAGGGAAACAGAACCTGCTTGAACTTATCTCCTCCTGACATTTTTTAAAACCAGGTACAATTATAAATGTTCTTACTCAAAGGAGAGCTATTGCAGAGAATGCGAAGTGAAGGACAATCCAGAAAAACATTGACGTGCTTCAGCCTTGCTGCTTTAGAACCTGGTTGGGTAACAAGTAGGTTCCTATTAGGTCCCATTCAAATTTAAGGCCTTTGCTACACAGGTCACTTTTCCTTCACCAAAAAAATAGTGAGGAGTTGGTGGGAGAGGAGAAGCTACTTTTACCAGTAGGAAAGCCAATTTGGGGAATTTTCTAATTCTGTGGCTTGGAAATTTTTTAAAAAATAACAATTAGCATCTATGCACTTAGAGATCTTTGAAGTAAATCTTAAAATTGATTTTAAATATGTATAACCCTGAAATCAATTTCATGTGTTCTTTATATTTTTGATGTTTTCCAAATTAAATTTAGGCACAAGTTTTCCAATTTAAATTTAGGCATAAGTTTTCCAAATCAGTTTGATTTATCCTTTTCTGTTAGTCTTGAATTCAGTGTTCTTTTTTTATGTTGGCTATTCTGTCAATAATTTAAAGTGTTTGTATTCTTTGAGAGGAATTACCAATAACATATTGAAGATGTACAAAATGAAAAATTTTAACATATAGTTATGTTGTGATTTAAGAAAGTTATCCTGGTGAGGTAATATGGAACATATGGTTCAGAATCAAAAATTAACCGGAAAATAACTTGATACATAAATATATGAATGCATGGACCAAAGAGATTCAAACTCCCATTTTTACTCTTAGAATGGAAGTATAATTTGATATATAATAATTAGTTTGTAAAGTGTCCTAATCTCATTATCAAGTTGCTTTATATTATGAAGTGTGTGTGTGTGTGTGTGTGTGTGTGTGTGTGTGTACTTTTAACTTGTAGGGGAATTTTTGTTTTGTTTTTGCTGTTTTCAGCTCTTTCCATTGGGATTTTGTGCAACTGTCATTCTTTTGATGTTTTGAAATATAGTTGAATGGTGTGCATTGATGAAATTGTCTTAATAGATATTTCTATGTTGAGATTTTTTTTAAAGTTAGTGGTTTTCCTACAGATACAAGAAACATGTAATGATATATATCCACATACACCTATATATCATTATATACGTCCACACAAAGCTGCCATGTGTGAACGCAGTCTAGCTGGACAGCTTCTGTTCCAGGAACACATCCATGCTCTAGTGGAGAATTTGTTCAGCTGAATGATCTTTTAAACAGGTTTGAGGATGTTTGAGATTTTTTAATTTGGGGAGATTTTTCTTGGTTTAATAGTGCTGGAGACCCTTGTTTTGATATGACAAAAGCTCTTATTGATGTATTTGCGTTACACTTATTTAAAATGTGTATGTGATTTAGCAGTAAATTCTCTTTGATTAAAGCAGGAAGGATAGAGGAAATCATCTGCAGTTTACACATCTTTATTTTTTTTTCATGTGTAGTAAAGTATTGCTGACAATGAAATCAGTTCCCCAAAGAAGAGACTCTTATATGCCCAAACTAGTTATTATTTAACATCCTGGTTAGAAATGCCCATAGGCCAGAGTTGAGTCAGGAGACCTCATCTAAACTATAAATAATGCTGAAAACCTTTAAATGAAGGAGGTGCAAAAAATCTGCCCATGGGATGATTCCATGGGTTATCTAGAATAAGGAAAGTCCTAAATGATGGCTATATTCAGTGCTTGCAGCTTAATTATTCTTACTGTAGATTTCAGTGTTTACCAAACAGTGTTATAGTTTGTAACCCAATGTACTAAGTGTTTGCAGCATTTAGTATTTCCATTCCCTTAAAAATTGTAAGGGTCTTATTTGTACTTTAAGAGAGAAGTAAAGAAATGAGCTGCCCTGTATATCATGTATTTGTGATGTAAGGAACAAGGGTAATTTAAAATCAAAGAATATTGTTGGGAAAAGTCTTTAGAGAACTTTAATTAAGGTGAGCAGAGTGGGGCTGACATGTTAACATGCCCAAGCAGACACTTACACCAACTAATTGTTTAAATATTTTTGATGGACCTACTATGTATGTATAAAGCTGTATGGAGTATTTTCTATAGGAAGTACAAGGATGACTAAGATAGGATTCCTGCCCTTGAGTTCACCAAAAGCTAGCAAGATGGTTTTAAATCCTAAAAAGGCACTGACCGGTTTGGCTCAGTGGATAGTGTCGGCCTGTGGACTCAAGAGTCCCAGGTTCGATTCCGGTCAAGGGCATGTACCTTGGTTATGGGCACATCCCCAGTGGGGACTGTGCAGGAGGCAGCTGATCGATGTTTCTCTCTCATCGATGTTTCTGGCTCTCTATCCCTCTCCCTTCCTCTCTGTAAAAAATCAATAAAACATAAATCCTAAAAAGACCAGAACAACATTTTGCTTCCTGATTCTAGTTGAGAGTTCAAGTCTCCCCCCCCCTGCCCCAACCCCAAATTCTGATTTTCCCAGTTTATCTACAAAATGGAGTTTTGGTAATTGAGTTACCATCACTGTGACAGAGAGTAAGAATACTAGACTGTAAGCCAGAGACATAAATGTGAACCCAGGCCCTGTTGCCTGTCAACTTTTTGTTCATGGATGGCAAAGCAGTAAATGTTCAACAATAAATGATAGTCCATAGAATTTTTTAAATTATATTTTGCAGTGCTATTTAATATGTTGTTTTGTAAAATACATTTGTCTTCTTTCATTTCCACATTTTCTCTACATTTATTTTAAGAAGGAAAATTAAAATAACCCTTATAACCTTGCTTCCTTTACCTCATCTTTACCTGTTTATATTTTTAAAATCAGCAGATACTCATCTAGGAGCATTTTTAGGGGTTGGTGGTAGTAGAAATGGCCAAAGCAAGCAGGATTAATTACAGGTTGTGTTTACCACTGGTTAAGATAGAAAAAGGTAGAGGTAGCCAATATTTACTCCTTTACCTTATCCTGCTACTTTCCTTGGATTCATTCAACCAACATTCATTGAATCTCTACTACATGCAACTTACCATGTGTTTAAGGATGAAGTGTCTCCTCTTCTGCCCCTTGGTTGTTGGCTTCGCAGCACAGTGCAAATTCTATAGGGAAACAAAAGAGTGTCTACCAAGTCCTTCCTTCATGGACCAAGGTGCTTCAGCTACTGTTCATTTGCTTTTACTTAAAAAGAAATACTGTTATTTTACATTTATGTCCATTTTATAATTCAAGTAAAAGATGCTAAGAATATTTTCTCAAACTACTTACTTCACTTTTGCTATTACAATTTTTCTCTCTCAGAAAATCTTAATTGGAATCCCTTCAAAGAGTTGTTATTTGTTTTTAAGATATGAAGAATTCAGAAAGTTATTTAAGAAATCCAAGTAGGCCTAGATTGCAGAGAAGTTTGGCAATACTTGGGTAACTGGGTAAATTGCTGTTTCTTTTCCTAAACAAAGTGAGACCCTCGGTGGTTAAAATTGACTACTAATCAATTTTAATTTCCCTCAAGGGTCATTCCTTTTTGTAACATCTTAGAGGTAGACTTTCCAGGATAAGAAGGACATTATTTAGTTAAAAATGATGAAAAATTTCAAACATGTAGTAGCATTTTTGTAGCAGAGGGAAGTTTAAAGATAGGAAGACACATTGGAGGGGTGACATGCAGAACAAAGGCATATCATGAATACTCAATATTCTGTGAACAATTCCCCCTTGTGTTAAGAAGATAAACTACACTGTATGCATATGTGTCCTGAATGTTTACAGAATGTGGGGTTTCTTTACCTGTGAGACAACTTCCACAAAGCTTTGAAATCATTATTACGTGTGAGTGTGTGTGTGTGTGTTTGTGTGTGTGTGTGTGTGTGTGTGTGTGTTTTGCTGGTAGGTTTGCCCTTCTAACTTAAGGATCTCTGTTCAGTGTAAGAATACAGTGCTTTTGAGGTTGCTGAATAAATTATCTAAAAATGTATCTGAATTTGTTTTAGAGGAAGTAGTGCTTAATATATAAAGTATTTTCAGTAAATGTGGAGATGTACCAGTTAATACTTTATTAAATTAGTGGAAACACCCAAATTTCTGAGTGAACTGAACTGTGAACTGTAACCACCTCCTTCCCTGCGTTTAAAGGACTCATCTTCACATTCTTTACATTCATTGCCTGTATGTTGAAGCTATTTATTATAATTCTTGATTTGAGAACCAATTTAGCAATTTCTTAAAAATCTCCTCCCTCCACACAACTGTCATATGTTGGGGTTTAAACATATGTACAGTTTGTTAATAGAATGAGAAGTGCTGGTTTTGAAGAGAATGTGCTAGATACTAACGAGACAAATACTAAGGAGAGTCAAGAGAGCATGAACCTTTAACATATTGTTTTAGATTCTATAGTGCACCTATATGCATTTTCCTTCAATGGTAGCATGACTGCCCCCTTTTTGGGAATGCATTTAGAAATGTAACTGAAACTGGAAAGCAGTATAATATAAATATATAGAAAGAGAAGCTATTAACTCATAATTACCATAACAGGAACACCTTTGCTCCAAAATTGTTATACATTGGGAAACTCTAAAAAGCATCATTTTTTAGAGCCTTGTATAAATGAATGTTAAGTTGATAGTATTACTGATGATGAAAAGTTTTCTTTGTGTTTAAATTAGTGTATTTGCACAGCATCACTAAGTATCTTTGAGAAGGAACATTTTAAAGTTTTCTCCATAGAAAGCAAAATAGAGGCACTTGATTGAATAGTAATAAAAATGATTTACTTTGAATAATGAGTTGATAGTGTAATTGTTGACACTTTCTTAGTATTTGTGATATTGGATGCATTTACGATGGAGGAATTTTTGTATATTCTGGCGTTCTGCACACACACACACACACACACACACACACACACAAACACACACACAAGCTCTACACATTGAGATGAACAATATGAAGTTCCACAGTATTTTTCATTTTAGTTCTATAACTTGGTAAAATTCATATGATTCTACCATAAAGTATTAACTCCTGACTCTAGTCATTCTATGATGAGAGAATCGATTTTATCTTGAAGTTAACCAACTAAAATGTTTTTATTTAAAGATCAAAAACATAGTTTACCTGATAGGTATTAAAAGACTCTCTTTCAAATTGTAACTCTCCGACTACTGATGAATCGTTTAGTAAACCACAGTACCATTTTTAAAGCTAAATGATGTCTCAGTGCCTTGGAAGTTAAGATACTTTTTCAGAGTGAATCTAGTGGGATTCAGGATTGGTACACCTGTTATTGGGGATTCAGCATTAAGGACAGTGTAATAGAATCACCTGTGGTTTAATAAAAATCAGTTATTTTGCTATTGACGATGACAGATGACGACTTTCATTACATTTTCATGATGTGGTATTTGTCTCTCTTTTTTAAAAAGTAAGTTTGAAATG